CACAAAGAGACAACAACAAAAGAGACACACAACGACCACAAAGAGACACCAACAAAAGGGACACACAACAATAAAGAGACACAAGAAGTTCACAGAGTGAAAGGTCACACACACACACACACACACACACACACACACACACACACACACACACACCGTGTCGACTCCGGCCAGCAGCAGCTCCGTGATGCTTCCCAGGATCTCGGTGACCGTCATCTGCTCGCTGAGCAGGAGGTGCGTCAGGTAGGCTCCCTCCACGCTCTGGTCCAGGTGAACCTTCTCCTGGATCTCGTCCATCTTCTGTTGCACCAGCTCTTCAGCTACAAGACATGGCGTGCAGGAGACACAAAGACAGATGACATCAACTGGAAACAAGGGGCGACATGGGACACCAGAGACTCATCCACCACCAGGAGCCTCGGGACCTGGACCTGCTTTAATAAAGCCTTCGGCTTTTAGGAGGAGAACCTCAGGGTTCTACCGTGGACATCACGGTTAGCAGGAGAACCTCAGGGTTCTACCATGGACATTGCGGTTAGGAGGAGACCCTCAGGGTTCTACCGAGGACATCGCGGTTAGGAGGAGAACCTTAAGGTTCTACCGTGGACATCGCGGTTAGGAGGAGAACCTCAGGGTTCTACCGAGGACATCGCGGTTAGGAGGAGAACCTCAGGGTTCTACCATGGACATCGCGGTTAGGAGGAGAACCTCAGGGTTCTACCAAGGACATCGCGGTTAGGAGGAGAACCTCAGGGTTCTAGCGTGGACATCACGGTTAGCAGGAGAACCTCAGGGTTCTACCGTGGACATCGCGGTTAGGAGGAGAACCTCAGGGTTCTACCGTGGACATCGCGGTTAGGAGGAGAACCTCAGGGTTCTACCGAGGACATCACGGTTAGGAGGAGAACCTCAGGGTTCTACCTTGGACATCGCGGTTAGGAGGAGAACCTCAGGGTTCTACCGTGGACATCACGGTTAGAAGGAGAACCTCAGGGTTCTACCGAGGACATCGCGGTTAGGAGGAGAACCTCAGGGTTCTACCGAGGACATCGCAGTTAGGAGGAGAACCTCAGGGTTCTACCGAGGACATTGCGGTTAGGAGGAGAACCTCAGGGTTCTACCGAGGACATCACGGTTAGGAGGAGAACCTCAGGGTTCTACCGTGGACATCACGGTTAGGAGGAGAACCTCAGGGTTCTACCGAGGACATCGCGGTCAGGAGGAGAACCTTGACTCACCGACTTTGAAGAGGTGGTCCCAGGCCGCCACGAACTGCTTCCAGAAGGGTGTGTAGGGCCAGAAGGACTTGGGGAAGAGCACGAGGATGGGGGACAGACGGAACATCTCCCCCACGGAGAAGATGAACTTCTGGGTTTCCTCGGGCACCACCTCGTTCATGCAGCCCATGCGGGTCTCGAACAACACGGAGCAGATCCCTGCGTTGAAAGGAACCATGATTACTGTTATTGTTTGTATCATTAAGAGGCTGCAGGCTTCTGAGGGACAGGACGTCCGAGTAGACATATTGAGACATGTGGACTCCATAACATCACCCGATGAGCGATTACACAACGTTCTACTGAATAAATGTGAAGGCTGGAGTCACTTTGTTCTGACAATAAGACCAAAGTGTAAAAGAATAAGGAAACAAATGAACTATTAACTAGAAGCATTTTCATATTCATTGTTTTTCTGCATTTATATACATATGTATTTAAGTGTTATTATGCAGATCATTTGCTTTCTATTTTAGGAAGCAATCATGAATATTTCACACAAGCCTTTATCTATAACTTCTCTATACATGAGTGTGTGTGCATGAGACAAACTGATAACAAATATCCATCCAGAGACACGTTCATGACAGGAACACAGAGTCCAGGCGAGGAACCTTTGGACCGCTGGTATCTAATCGGACGTCAAGGTCAGAGACGACTCCCTGAAACATCTACGGAGAACCTCGATAAGGCCGACGGATCAATGAGTGCTTCAAACGGCCTCCGACGCGTCAACGTGCTTCAACAACCCAAAACTAGTGTTTATAGTGTATATAATATACATATATGTATATTAAATTGTTTTTAACATAAAGACATATATACATGTACGTATATGAAATGTGCTTTAAATGTGTAATCGAATTGACTAAACGAATCCAGGAGTAAATCATTCAATAGATGTTCCTGCCCTCTGCGGACCTTCGAAAGCGAACTTGTAGAGCTCCGCCGTCAGGTCGTTGACCATCAGCCCCCCCCCGCCCGTCTCCCTCAGCCAGGCGGCGCGGCGGACAAAGTCTCCCACCACCTCGTTGATGGTGCAGGCGTAGGAGGACACGTGCTTGGGCTTCAGCATCCGAGGGTTCAGGATGCTGCGGATCCGCTGCCATTTGACCCCCATCCTGCAGGGGGGGCGAACACAGACGGAGACGTTGAAAACAAACATGTGATCTTTCATCACGTTTCAAAATATGCCAAAACAAAAACACGTTGCAGGAAGCAGATGAAATAAAAGAAAAACACGAGCGGGAACTTTGAGGCCCTGAAGAGTCGACTCGATGAAGAAGATCTCACAGAGGTTCTGAGGGACCCCGAGAGGCCTTTGTGTGGCTTCCATCTCACTTCATTCCATTTATTAGACTTGGAGTTGTCATGATGACAAGCTGGAAGCCGATCTGGTTCCTCCGGTTGTGCGTGTTCTGTGTCTCTGAACCATGTGACCCGTTTGCACCAATCACACCTGGACACGCCATTCATGCTGCACACCTTCTATTCTCAGAATCAGAAGCCCTTTATTGACACGTATGTTATCATATTAGAATAAATTGGGGTTTTATTCAAAACACCATCGCAAACATGCAAAAAGTAGCTCGTAGAGTCTCTCGTTCTGCAGCGGAGCGGCTCAGAGGACATGAACATTGACTAGAAGCAGGACGGTTTTCCTCCTTCTCCACTTCCTCAAAGCAAAGCCGGTTCGGGTGGGGGGACGGCAGAAATGTGGGAAGCCGGTGCGTCAGTGCGTCCAGCAGTTTGTGTACCTCACCTGGTCCTAATGACTAAGTCCAGTTCCTGCCACTGTAGCATGGAACAGCAGGAGGGGTTCACTCACTCCGTCAGGGGTCCGTGGGCCTGGTTCCGGAGCTCCCTGTAGCTCCTCCAGTGGGGCATGTCGGTGCGGACCGGGAGCCTCCCCTCCTGCCTCAGGACCTGCTCGATGAGCTGGGCGCTGGCCACGTTCACCACCACCAGCGGGCCGTACTTGGACTTCCACAGCGGCCCGTAGATCCGGCTGTGCTCGATCTGCCGGGTTATTGACCAGATCAATGAGACGTATCGGGTCAGAGGAAGCAGCCCCCCCACCACCGGGGACAGACTCCTCCCACTAACACACCCCTGGTCCCAACGTGTACACCCCCAATTAACGGCATGTTAAATAGAGGCGACTCCTCCAAGAAATAAAGACTTTAAATTCACAAAGAATGAACCCATGATTCGTAAGATGTCCAATGAGCAGCATTGCATTTTTAATTGTGATCATTTCTGTAATAAAAGTGTTGGATGTGGGTTGCGGGGGAGCAGCTCCAGCCGGGGGGACGCGTCCCTCTCCCGGCCCACCTTCAGCAGCTCAGACTGGGGGGGGTCCCAGTGGGGAGACATGATCTCTCGTCCTGGGGCCTCACCTGGCTCCTTTCCACTGAAGGAGCAGCGGTTCTGCTCCCCGTCTCCATTACATGAAATATCCGTAGACTCCATCGCGCACGCTTTCATTTTAAATCCCTTCCAGACGGATTTGATGGTCCAGTTATCAAAGTTCTTAACAACTGTTGTGTTTTAATTGTAACTCTTTATTCAGGAACCCCCCCCCGGGTCCTAAGGCCCTCCATGTACAGCTCCTTACTAACATCAATACGCTCTATGAGCACCGCGTACCAACAGAAAGAAAACGTCAGCTGTTGCTCTGAGGCTTCCTGTTATAATGGAACTTATTTATATATAATATATATATAAATATATAAGAGGCCAAGAAGACCAAAAGGAATATAAAACCAAAGCTATTGTCTGGGCATTGAAGTTTAATGCCCAGGCAATAGCTTTGGTTTTATATTCCTTTTGGTTTACTACATTTCTATGTTGACATTCAGGTATTTTAACTGCTACTTTGTCAACGTGTTGTCATGATCAAAAGCAACATTCACTCCCACCTTCAGATGTTTGTACACAATCTCATATTTATTCATTACTTGTCGATACAACTCTGACCTAAAAATATATATTTAATACTTTGATTATTCTTTATATAATAAAGGGATTATATTTATTCCATTTGCACCCTGCTAGTTCTGTTCCCTTTGAGAGCATTGAAGTTCAAAAGTGCACACACACACACACACACACACACACACACACACAAACTGTCTGCATGGATCGATACAACAGACACATGTTATATTTCTTTACTCTAAGACAATCTGGGTGACCTAATGGGTGAACACACACACACACACACACACACACACACACACACATACATATGAATGAGTGTAACTATGGTAACACTGTGACTAGAACTGTCGGGCTGGAGGAAGTATTTGGGTCATTTATTGCTTACTTGCATCTGCTGCGTAGTTTGGAAATATCCCTTCACGAAGAGCCAGTTGAGGGTGGTGAGCAGGCCGGGGCCGCCCAGCTGCTCCATGGTCTTCAGGGGGCTGCTGTGCGCCGTCACGGTGGAGGAGGTGGAGGCGGATGCGTGTCTGCCCCCATGAGGCCCGGGACTCAGGGCCGCCAACAGGCTCCGGGTGGCGTTGCGCTGCAGCCGCAGGCCGAGGCTGGCTGTGCTCCTGCTGAGCATGTCCTACAGGAGGGGGGGGGGTTACGGAGCGTGTGGCGTCTGGTCGGGCCTGCAGGCTCCGTGCGTCTGTGCGGCAGTAATGAGCTGTGACGGGCTGCGGATCACAGCGCGGCTTATGAAGCGGCGCTCGCGTGCACTTTGATTGGCTCAGCTGATGAGTCACTGTACTGGGACACGTGGTGCGGCTGAGGAAAAGGTATGCACTAATATACAAGCAGGTAAATAAATAACTCAATACACGCAAGAACTAGTTCACTACAGGCAATAACTGGCTACAAGATCAATACAATAAATAACTGTAGAATCAATAATCACAAATAAACAAAGGTTTGTGGTCAGAGCGACGGTAGACAAACACTGTGGATGTTCTTTAACAGTTCACCACAGCGCTCTGAAGACGATACGTTTAGTAACGTCGCATTACCTTAATTTATGTACTTTAATATCCGTTGCGTACATTACGATACATTTATGAGTTTAGCGGTCATGCTCGACGGGCTAATCCGCCGTTAATGGTTTTACCGTAACCCGCCGATACAGGCACATCGTCGCAATCCCAGCGCCCCCCCTGACCCCTGACCCCCCAGGGACTCAATGAGGTCACCAGGTCAGTGGTGGAGTGCGAGGCCTTTAAATGGTGTAAATATGAATGGAAAGCACTTTGCTGCAAACTGTCTTGTGACCATGACAACGGAACGAAAATATGATCTACAGTCGAGGCTATTAAGGTTTTACTCTCTGGTTTGACCATCGCTTTCCTCATAAAATGGTGATAACATTTTATATTTCATGAATAGATTAACAAAATGTCTGATTTCATGTGATTTTTCTTCATCTTAAATCCCTGATGTTTTAAATGTATATATTTTATTATGACAGACGCGTGCGTCCCCTTTGGTTATCTTTTTTTTAACTCTGGATTCAATAGTTTATCTCGTTTTTGACGTCATATTGCAATGTCTTGTGGGTAATTTCCCTTGAGCTAAGCTTAGCCCAAGTGCTGAAAGCCTCTAACACTGAACGAGGTGACGGATCCGGACCCTCGCGAAGTCAGATTGGGATTGGACCATCAGCTCTGGGACCCGGATGCAGCTGTTTGTAGAAGCTACGTCACTGCTGGTGACATTCGTGTTTAACCTGCTCCCCGTCACCCGGATGTAAGCTAGCTTACATTCGCTAGCTAGCCAGGGTCAGAGCTAGTAGGACAGGTGGGCATTCAGTCACAGGTGATAGAGGAGAACATAACAGCCACGTTACCTGCGGGTTGTGTGAACTGCTGACGTCACAGTCTGTTTTGGTCGTTGAGGTCTTAAAGTCGCTCTTGGTTACAAATTGTGATTTGGACCTTTAATCCAGGTAACTTGCTCGTATGTGTGTTTAGTTTTTTGACCCCACGGATCTCATTTGAACCTGCTTGGTTCCCGTAGCGGGCTTCTTTCTGTGACGTCACTCAGTGGCTGGCTGCCTCCTTAAGGACGCATACGTCACTTCGGCTGCGACTCGACTGTCCCAATCCGTTGGGTCCTCCGAACGCGGTCGAGGGACGCGGTCCTCCAGGAGCCGGTTTGGACGACGCGTCTGATCTGTCCGTATCCCAGCATGCAGTGCGGGCCGACGAGGATTTCATTTATTCAGGACGGAGGCGGGTGATCCGACAGCGCGGAGAGTTTACTTTGAAATGTATCGTTAAGTAATAGAATTCACTCGAATATCTACCGATATAAATGTTGTAATATAATAAATAACATGACATCTTAGTTTATGAAGTTACGTGACGTTGGTAACCGATGTGGTGTTTTTAAATACACGTAAGACTTTAGAACAAACTGCTCTTAGTTAATGTTAACAGCCCCTGATGGAAGTCCCCCGTAGGCCAGACCGCCTCCTTTCACAGGCCGCTCAGTTGAGCCTATGCGGTTGTTGGAGGACCAGCCTCGGTAGACCAGGCAGGGTCCTCCAAGGATGCAGCCTAGGGAATTGAGACGCAGCTAGTGAGACTTCTTCACCCAACTGACCCATTTCAGCACCTAAAACTAAGAGATGGAGCTAGAGCCAGTGGATAGAATATATTCTACCCAAACAATATAGTACAATTTAAAACATCATTCATTGCAGTTCAAATGCAAAAATACATCATGAACCTGTGAGAGGTTCAACAGTATAAAGTACATATTGTACCTGAGGTGAAGCACAGCTCAGTCTTCTGTGTAATTGCATTGCTTTCATATTTTTATAATAATCCAGTAATGGTTAATATCTGTATATTGTATTTCTATACGATGTGTTTGTACCTCTTTCTGCCCCCTGGGGGCGACTCATTCTACTTTAACACAAATGTATCACCATTGTCTGCAAGAATATTAAAGTGTGTAATATGGTTTATAAATTAATACGCTAATGCTCACAACAGAAAAACTCATAACATTGTTTGGGTTAAAGTTGTAGATTCAGGGGAAGGAACTTTGATATTCTCTGAGATTCATAAAGATATATTTTAGATTTACATTTAAAAAAAAACATTTGAGAAAAAAGATCATGATATTAAAATCACAAATATATAGGATATAAAGTCCCACAGTTATGAAATAATTAAGACTGCAAAAGCACCAAAAAACCTTAAAACCTTTATTTTTCTCAGCCTAAAAAAAAACGGTCAACTGCGTCATCACGTTGACTCAGCTCTGCACAGGAAGAAGATCCCACATGCAGCTGGTTAGTCTCAGTCGACCAACCTGCACTTCCAGTTGGGGATGGGTGTGCATATATACACATATTTTATTTATTAAGCCATTCACCCTTGGGCGAGTATATTTGTAAATATAAATAATTTGATTCAAGTATTGCAGGTTTAAAGCTACAATATGCTGCTTCACCAGAATCAGAGCCACTCCTGTACTGAAACGTCACATATGAGATCTTCACTGCGATAATCAATAATCAATAATCACAGCCTTAGAGGGGACAGCGCTTACTACATAAGAATCATTGTACCTGTGACTTAAATTATTAATTCGGATTAACCAAAAATGAGTCGCAGATTGAGAAGAAGGTTAAATCTCTGCTTTTATCAATGGAGTCTGGTGTGTTAGCAGAGAGATCACAGCTTCAGTTCCTTTCAGAAAGGTAAAGGATGTACGGTTCAATCAAACTGATATGGGTTCTTTTAGGAGCCTAGAACGTTCTCCGTGCACAGTAGAAGAAGCTCACACGCGCTTAGCTGGACACATCTCAGACGTTGACGCTCAGCTGGTTCGTTCCACCTAAAGCGCCGCTTCTTTGTGTGTGTTAACTCAAATGAATGCAGCTTAAATGAAAAACTCCGTCTTGTCTTCCTGCAGCGGAGTTTGAGAAATCAAAAGCAAAAAGAAGCCTTTACAATAACGATTAAGACTCAAGAAAAGAAGGTTTACTAACGCGAGAGAAGGCACATGCACCCCGAACCCAACGCCGGCCTCCCATTGGTCGCTTTCCCCACTGACGCACCACATGGGGGCAGGCGTGAGGTCCACGGTGCAGCTGGTCGGGAGATGCAGGCGGTTCTACCGGGTTCTACTGGGTTCTGCAGAGAGGTCGGCTCGTGTCGAGATGCAGCCGGTTCCTCGTGTTCAGTCGCTCTCGCTGCCGGACTCGCTGAGCTGGAGGTCGTTCTCTGAAACACATTGTTTGGTTTTCAGCACCGTCTGCAGCACTTTGAGTTCTAGAGGAAGAACACGGGTGACGGGACGACTTCGTCACGCTACTAGTTGGTACGGTATTTTTAATCTCACGCTCATCTGGCTTCTTTGTGAAGGATAAAAACGAGCAGAGACAGCTACTCACTCAGCGTGCTCAGGAGTCCTGCGCCGCCCTCCGGGTTGCCGCTGCTGCTGATGAGGGGCATGCTGTGATTGGCCGGCGGGGGAGGAGCGGCGGGTGCAGCAGCAGAAGGAGCGCGTTGGTCCTCGGAGTCGCTGCTGCTGTCCTCGCTGCTGGAGGACGAGGAGCTGTTGGAGTCGGAGGAGCTGTCGCCGCTGCTCAGCTGGTCCATAACTCGAGCCTCCGCCATCAGCTCTGTGGGCAAGAAGAAGACGCAGGAGACCATCACCGCCGAGAGCTGACGTAGGAACAACTCCATCCACATCAAACGGAGGATGGAGACGACGAGAAAGAACCACTCGACGGAACCGATCCGTCCTCGTGGTCCTAGGACCAGCGGACACGGTCACTGAAGCTGGCAGCGTTTGCTCAGTCGCACTTTAGAAGGATAAAGTCTACAGATAATTAATAATAATAATGATGAAGTGTTTCTACACGTCACCTCTCTCGATGTCGTCCATGGGGGACAAAGGGGAGGCCTTCTCTTTGGGGGGGCTCTTGGAGCTCGTGGAGGTCTTGTTACTGCTGCTGCTGCAGGGGTTGCTGGTGGTGGGGGGGGGGGTGCTGGTGGTGCTGGTCTTCAGCTGCTGGCTCAGGCGGCTGGTCTGCTGCTCCAGGCGAGACTGGACCTTACTGCTGCCCTCGGCCCTGCCCACAAACAAGCCAGCTTCCTCTAAACATCTGGACTCGCTCACTCATACAGCTGGTTAAACCCAGGGGACGACTAGTCCTCACCTGGTCTTCTTCACGGCTATGTTGCTGTTGAGCTTCTCCAGCCGGTACTCTCCGGTGTCGTGGTTCACGATGAGGATGCACTCCTTCATGTACGGCCTCTTGGACCCCTTGAAGACCGTTACGGGAGTGCTGGAACCCTGAAGAACAAAAACAGTCTGAGGACAGCAGAAACAATGTCTCGCATTGTGTTAATTTTTTATTTGAACCCGGTAAACTTGTTAATGAGCTCTTCAGCGTGCACACAGACCTCTAGATTGGGTAAAGTGATGGTGACCTGCTCTCCTTTGCCCACTTCCAGCTCGCCTTCACACGTTGTATCGATGGAGGCCGGTTTGAAGTCATCTGTCACACGGAGTATTACATAGTATACATAAGTATTATACATACTTAAGCCTCAATACGAACCGTAGAGTGGTTGTATTTATAAATATGATCAAACATAAACGCAGTGATGGTGGTGTTATAGTTATTACACCACCGTTACCACCAGATGGCAGTAGCGTAAACAGACGCGATGCTAAAGGGAGCTAACGTTTTGAACGTGGATCCTCAGGTTTGTTATAGTTTGAGTGACTCATTAAAACTACAACGAAAAGACACAACTAGCATCGTAGTCATGCGGATACAAGCCGACTGATGACGTCAATGTGGCTACTTGTTAAAAAGCAACAGCTGTCCTGGGATGTTTGAGCTACAAGGCTAACTAGCATGCTAATGCTAGCATGCCGCTGTTAGCCACTGTGAGGAGCCAGACGTATCGCTCTAGATTCGGGTACTTACACCGCACCGTGTGGTAGCCGCTCTTCGGGTGCTTCTCGAACGTCTCCCCCAACTTCAACGTGTGTTCCTGGTTGTCAAAGTTGGAATAAGCGGTTCCGTTCATTCTGACACTTTCACGAGCAGGAAACTTTTCCGCTGTTTTCTGTTTAAGGGGCGTCCATGTACGCAGCGCGCTGTCCCGCCTCCTCCCCGTTATGATTGGACGTGCGCTGCATCACTTTGTTTGATTGGTTCATTGTCCGCCAATCAAGGAGTTTTTTTAATATAACCTCTATTTCTAACTTAAGATTTATGTTTTTGCAAAGAAGATTCGTGTTTTAATTTCGAGTAATACACTCTTCCTGGTGAATATTTTATAAATGATATTTGATCATGCTGTTATGTAAGTATTACCTTCATGATATTTATTGTTATGTTTAAATTCTCTGTTAAATATCTGCCTAAACGCAGGCTACACTTATTACACAGTAATTCATCCATTTGCTTTGATTCTTGCTTTTATTTTGTTCAGAAACCTCTGGAGAAAGTTGCTACAGCATGGAAATCATTTTAGTATTTCGTAATTAAATATTAGATATATTATTTTTGGAAAATAGAATAGAATCCATCGTACAAATACATAGTTTACAAAATTATTTTATTGCATTGTTATTGTTACTATTTAATGTAATGATTCAATGGTAATTCATTCATTTTAATACAAATCTCTTCTTTTTTATATTGCTATAGCAAAATAATGAAGTATTTTAGTATTCATTGGTTTGTTTCAGTGTTTATATTCAACCTTATTTAGTCTGCTGTTTATTAAATTGTTCTTATTTGTTTTTAAAGCTATGAAACCTATATTATTATTCCTATTACAAACTAGCTGTACTGTAGATTAACTTCTGAATAAAGGCGTCAGGATAATCTCCTTCTCAGCGATTCATCGCTCTTCTGAGGCCACAAGCTGAGCTTCAAACAGGGTCTCCACCCAGCAGATTACTGCCCCCACCTCTCCTCCTCCACCTCTCCTCCTCCCTCCACCTCTTCTCCTCCACCTCTCCTCCTCCCTCCACCTCTTCTCCTCCACCTCTCCTCCTCCCTCCACCTCTTCTCCTCCACCTCTTCTCGAGTTCATCACATTAAAGGAGCATTTACTGAATCAAAGAGTAGCTGTCAGTGAAGAAGCAGGTCGTCTGTCTACCGGAGGAGGTCGGGTTTACCGCTGCACACGGTTACCTAGCAACCGACAACAAGAGGCGAGGTCTCCTCGCGTGTTATATTCTCATTAATAACATTAAAGACATTCTACTTCTTCATTTTCTCACTTTTGGCACTGAATGTTAGTCAAAGTCAAAGTCAAGTTACACTCCTTTGTGACTTGAATCTGGGAAACAACATAAAGAAAATGCATTAAAGGGTCAAAACGTTGTTATTACGTTTTTATTTACATTCTGCAGCTGCAGGTGTTTCTCATATTACTAGAAAACGTCATTCCTTTCATCCTTAATATAGAATATTACAATATTTGCTGTATTTGTATATATAATCAGCCCCGGATCAGACTGAGTGATAAAGACCACCCTGATCCGGGATCTTTGGGGGGGGGCTCTTTAATCTGAGCCAATCATCAACAGAGGCAGAGCGATGGTGCTATGGGCCGTGCTGCCTTCATGTGCTGTCGGAACGTTCACAATCACACAACATTTCGTCAGATTAGAGTGTACAGTCAGTTTGTGAATAAAGTCATGATTATTAATAATAATGAATAAATTAAATACATCGTTGAGGAAGATTGAGGTCCAGTCGCCTCATTTAGAAATTACTATTTCTTGAGAACACACATATTTATTTTATATCTTTCTGCTTTATTTAGGTTGCTAACTGTTTTTATATTGTATGGTACTCGAGACAAAGGTATTATTTTATCTGCTAATGAAGTTTATCGCCGTGAGTTTCTCCCAATTAAACCCTCACAACGACCTTATTTTATTTTTATTATGTAAACAAATTCATCTAAAAATAAATAATTTCATGAATATTCTTGATGAAATTAGTGTTATAATCTAAATAAAGAATATTGACAACAATCTACAAATACTGAATTAGTATTTCGAAATGAAAGATGACTAACAAACAAACAACAATAATAACACATATTTTGTGCAAACGTCATCAACGACACGCGACGTCATCAGACCAGAACGCAGAAGACTCATTCAGAACGTGAAGCCGTTGAGTGTGGGATTTACGAGCGGAACGTGAAGGCATCACTGTTCCCAAAGAGAACCCCGCAAAGAAGAAGAGGTCGTGTATCCGGATCCTCCGGGACAATAAAAAGAACCTCTCAGACCTGCACGAGGGAAGGGCGCAGAACCATCGGCAGGACCCGCGGCTGCGTGGGCTCGGTGCCGGTCCCGGTGTGCGAGGGTTCGATCCCGGGCTGAAGACCACGTCAGGTGTTGGAAATAAGAGGAGCGGCGAGGATCCGGTTGGCGGAGATGATGGAGATGACGGAGATGATGGAGATGATGGAGATGATGGAGGAGACTGGGTCCCGCTCTTAACTGTGAGTGAGTACACCGACATAATGTTATCATCAAAGGGGGAGAACGAAGAGACGGTGGTCCGCTTTACGATGCCCCCTGAAGCAGACACGCTTTAAACCATGAGCAACGGGAGCTGCAGATCTGCGACTGTTTTACGGTTTCAGCCATTTATTCTCCTCACGCATAAAGTGCACATGGAGAAATGCCTCTAAATGTGAGGGTGGATCCAATGAGACGAGATGTTCAGAGAACATGATGGGAGCATCGCCTCCTTCATGTAGGAGAGGGCTTCATATCTGCTGAGGAAGACCATGGTGGAACTGAAAGTCTCACCTTCACATCTCATAATAAGAATTTTCTACAACAGTGTGACATGTTGTTATTTTGTCCTCGTGAGCGAAGTCTCACGTCTTGTTGGGTTTGTGACTTCCTGATTAACTCTTTAAGGCCATGCAGGTGATGAAGGTCACAAAGGGCCGTGAAACAGCGTCTTTTGTCAGGAGGTGTGACTGGAGATCCCCCAGAGGTCCTGGCTGCTGGGCAGGTGAGTGCCCCCGGGGCTGATGGGAGTTCTGGCTGGCTGACGACCAGCCTGCACTCAGATGCTGCTGATGAACATACGGGAACGCACCGGCGGGGTGGGGGGGACGGGGAGGACGGGGGAGACGGGGGGGACGGGGGAGACAAGGGGGGGGGTGCAGGAGCTTCTTTGTTTTCCAGGAAAACAGTGAAACATCTGGATCATGAATATTTGACGAGGGTCAGGTGACTGGAAAAGCTCTCACGGAACGTTCCGTTATCTGTCCGAGGCCTTCGGAGGCGGCCGCTTGGAATGTGAGGCATTCAGGGACGGATGTTGTCACGGTTATTTAGAGGAATGTGTGCAAGGTCTCGTCCTTCGTTTATCTGAAAGATGTCAAAGTGAAACTTCAGATTCTCCTTTTGTGAACAAGCTATATGAATTAGTTAGCAGATTGTGTCGTAGGAGGATAATAACCACGTATTAAAACTCTCGTCGGTTTGTTTTCAACTCTCAAGTTCACCATTCAGGACGTCGCCATCTTGTTTTTTAGCAACCAGTAAACAGTAAATGACCATATATGGACTGAGGAGGACATACAGTTGACTTTTATGTCTCTGGTAGAGACCTGTCAATCAGCGTGTAGCCCCGTCCTAAAGCCTCCCCTGCTTTATGGTCTGTTTGACTCCACATGGACCATCATCTACTAAATGAACATCATGCTGTGTTGAAGAGGACTTGAAATCACTACAGAGAAGTACAGTCATTTCCTCATAGACGTCTATGGGAGCAGAGGAGTCGCCCCCTGCTGGTCACTACAGAGAAGTAGAGTCATTTCCTCATAGACGTCTATGGGAGCAGAGGAGTCGCCCCCTGCTGGTCACTACAGAGAAGTAGAGTCATTTCCTCATAGACGTCTATGGGAGCAGAGGAGTCGCCCCCTGCTGGTCACTACAGAGAAGTAGAGTCATTTCCTCATAGACGTCTATGGGAGCAGAGGAGTCGCCCCCTGCTGGTCACTACAGAGAAGTAGAGTCATTTCTTAATAGACGTCTATGGGAGCAGAGGAGTCGCCCCCTGCTGGTCACTACAGAGAAGTAGAGTCATTTCTTCATAGACGTCTATGGGAGCAGAGGAGTCGCCCCCTGCTGGTCACTACAGAGAAGTAGAGTCATTTCCTAATAGACGTCTATGGGAGCAGAGGAGTCGCCCCCTGCTGGTCCCTGCAGAGAATGCAGCTTTAAGACATGAAGCTCTGAGAGGTTTGTCTCTTGGTTCAAAAGCAAACTTCTTCTGTTCATGGGAGTCCTCCCCCCCCCCCCCCCCTTATGGGCAGAAGACGACAGCCGTCTCTCAGACTGGGAGGAATGTCGTCCCGAAAACCTGTAAACCTGTCTTTCTCTCAACCTTCAGGTTCTGCACAATCAGAGATAGAGGCTGATATTTAATCTGCTTGAAATGCATGAAGGGCTGCAAAAAATCCATTATAAAAATAAATGAATACATTTTTTAAAGAACATGATTAAATATTTATTTAAAGACTAAATGAATGAACAGAAAAAATGTAATCATAAATGCATAAACGATATTGTCATTTCCGTATATATTTCCACTATTTACTTATTATTATTATTTCATGGGGCGCCTGCTGGTGTTTTAGATCCGAGGTGCTGAAGCTGAAGCCGTGATCAATCATCATGTAGTTCCATCTTTTCCTCATGACGTCCTGGAAGAACTGAGCGGCGAAACGAGTCTACAGCCCAAGTGCACTTAGCGGTTAGCATGTAGCTAGCGACGGGATGGCGGTCTTACTGATAAAGTCTGTTAGAGATGAAGTCCCTCCCTCGTGTTACTCCCCCCCCCCCCCCTGCACTCCACCACTCCGGTTCTGCTCCATCAACAAGCATGTGCAGGTCACCAGAGGTCCCCTCCTCAGATAACGTCCGCTGTGTCACTGAGCTTCATCCTCCGTCAGCCTCCATCGGGCACCCACCCGTCTGACCGCGAGGGGGGGGGGGGGGGCGCTGTGCCCCGCGATGCCCCACAATGGGCAATTCAGGCGCAAAAAAAAAAACCGTTTAAGGGGGTTTTTTTTCCCCCCCCCGCGGGGTGGAAGGAGACATTCGTCCCACAGAAAAGGGTTTTGTCTCTCCAGAAGAAGACTACACTACCCACCATCCTGTGTGGTGACATCCGCCGCGGTGTCTTGGGTTTTTTCCTCACATCTTGTTTTTTCGCGGCTTTCAGAGGCTACGGAAAACGGTCCGTGGTCTTGGTGGTCCGGTCTTCACCTGATCCAAGAACGTGAGAGGAACGTCTACCAGAGGATCCCGACTGGGCCTCTGAGCGCTGACCTCTGCTTCAGGGCTTCGGGCCTCCTGCAGCCTCTGGACTCGGCACTAAAAGCTCCGGCAGCACAGCTAATATAGCGGCCGAACCCCCCAGCCGGGCTTCTCCTCGCTCGTGAGAGGTTCGTCTGTGAATTATTAAACCCACCGAGTCCTCGTGAATTATCAAAGAGGATTGTGACCTCGGTTTGGGACCGTTGTGAACACGGCCCTTTCAAAATAAGATTAGATGATCCTTTTTCGTCCCACAGGCTGATTACAGCAGCGCTTTTAATTCATCTTCACGCTCCATGAAACACATCATCAATCGTTTCATTCATCCATTAGTCACCGTCTGTGATGTATTTCACCGGGGAACTGAACATTTCCATACAACATATCTCATATTTAATCACCTGTTGTGCCCTGTTGAAGGAACCATAAAGACTTTTATGAGTTCTGATTACTCACAAATATCCAATCAAACTTAAATTCCCGTCTTTTTCTAAATTGCTCTGTCAGCTGCTGCGACTGTAGTTTGTGTTGAAGATGTTGTCACGGTGACGTCTCTTGTTGGTTGCTGGATGGTTTCATGTCTTGTGTTCTGTCTGTAACCAGTAAACAGGAAGTGACCATAACTGAGGAGGACGTGGAGACGTCTCCTCTTACGGCCTGTTTGACTCTAAATGGACCATCATTTACTGAATGAACATCCAGCTGCACTGAAGAAGACTTGAAACTAGAGATGAGGGAATTCAATTCATTTTATTTTATTTTGTGTAGCCCAAAATTGCAAATTACACATTCCCTCCGAGGTCTTTACAGTCTGCACACATGTGACATCCTCAGTCCTAAAACCCTCACATGACACCGGAAACCCCTCAGTGAGAACGCCAGAGGATCCGTCCCCTGATGGACAGACTACAATGATGCCATGTGGACACAATGAACAACGTAGAAGGATAAATAAATATAAAGAGAATAAATCCAGGGAGAAGTAGAGTCATTTCCTCATAGACGTCTATGGGAGCAGAGGAGTCGCCCCCTGCTGGTCACTACAGAGAAGTAGAGTCATTTTCCTCATAGACGTCTATGGGAGCAGAGGAGTCGCCCCCCTGCTGGTCACTACAGAGAAGTAGAGTCATTTCCTCATAGACGTCTATGGGAGCAGAGGAGTCGCCCCCTGCTGGTCACTACAGAGAAGTAGAGTCATTTCCTCATAGACGTCTATGGGAGCAGAGGAGTCGCCCCCTGCTGGTCACTACAGAGAAGTAGAGTAATTTCCTCATAGACGTCTATGGGAGCAGAGGAGTCGCCCCCTGCTGGTCACTACACAGAAGTAGAGTCATTTCCTCATAGACGTCTATGGGAGCAGAGGAGTCGCCCCCTGCTGGTCACTACAGAGAAGTAGAGTCATTTCCTCATAGACGTCTATGGGAGCAGAGGAGTCGCCCCCTGCTGGTCACTACAGAGAAGTAGAGTCATTTCCTCATAGACGTCTATGGGAGCAGAGGAGTCGCCCCCTGCTGGTCACTACAGAGAAGTAGAGTCATTTCCTCATAGACGTCTATGGGAGCAGAGGAGTCGCCCCCTGCTGGTCACTACAGAGAAGTAGAGTCATTTCCTCATAGACGTCTATGGGAGCAGAGGAGTCGCCCCCTGCTGGTCACTACACAGAAGTAGAGTCATTTCCTCATAGACGTCTATGGGAGCAGAGGAGTCGCCCCCTGCTGGTCACTACAGAGAAGTAGAGTCATTTCCTCATAGACGTCTATGGGAGCAGAGGAGTCGCCCCCTGCTGGTCACTACACAGAATGCAGCTTTAAGACAAATTGGCTTTAATTGTTAATGCCAAAGTTTGTCACACGGGGAAAACTGAATATAACAATAAATAACTTCACACTACCTGTTCTTCAAGTGAGTCTATGATCACCAGATCTGCTCCTTGGTCTCCACAGTCCTTTCTGCCATTTTCCCAGGAATCATCCCGTGTAGAGAGAAGATAACAGGAACATCTGAACATCGTCCACCCCTCAGGACACGTTTTCTCTGTAAAAGAAACATTTAACTTCACACAAGAGTCTTTAAACTGAGGAAGTTGTGTGTTTTTGTTGACTCTATTTTGAGCTGTGCAGCGTCACTGTGACACACATGACTTCATTTTAATGTCCTGTTCTGCATCTTAGCGACAAACATTCAGTATGAACACACTATTATCATCTAACACGGATAGATTATTTCCTTTTAAATATCATACTGTAGTTGTACACTCACTATTTGAACTTCTGTTTCATCTCCAATCATCATCTTTACTTCCATCATTTTAAAAAAAACGTATTGAATAAGCATTGTTGAAGGGAGACTAAGAACAACTGCTTTTCTCTAGTCGTTTTAAATACAATGAATAACTGAATAAAGTTCCTCGGTTCCCTAATTTAAAAGTCTGTGGAGACTTTTTATACTTGACCACCAGAACAATTATTTATTCAATCAATTGACTCATTAATTACAGAAGTATTTCTTTAGGAAACAGTTTAAACAAACACAGACCAGCACTCACTCTGTTTCAACAAGAGCTGAAGTCCGTCCTTCTCTTGGGTCAGTGCAGTGACTTTGTCCTTCAGCTGGTCTCTCTCTGCAGACACTGAGGACAGCTTGTCTCCACTGACATGCACTGAGTCATGAAGACATGAAGACATGATACAATACATCACTGTTGTGTTCTATATTACAGAAACATCCCATCATCTTTTCACAGGAAATAATAAAGATACTGAGCAAATGTTGTCATGACAACCAGCAACCTGAACTCTCTCAAATCTCAGGTTGGATGAAGACCAGACTCACCGTGGACACCGAGACAGACGAGTCCAGCCAGCAGGAGGACACTGAGCAGCCCCAGAGAGACAGCAACAGCCACATGAGGTCTGCTTCTTGGGCTGCTGGGACCTGGACACATGAAGACCAGTCAGCACACTGGTCAGGAGAAGATGCACAGACTGATCATTCTTACCTGGGGCAGGTGTTGAAGGTCTTACGGAAGCCTGAGACTTCACATATTCAACGTTAGCGTAGATTTCGTCCATCGCTGTGAAGACGACCAGCTGTCAAATGATGAACGTGACGTTGCTTTCAGCTTATGAATAGTGTGACTTTTGAGGAAGTTTCATTTTCAGAGGTGCGAAATGCCACATATGTACATAAAATACAGCCGCTGCAATGACGTCTGTTCTCTGTCTCAGAGTTCAGACCAGTGAACACATACCAGATCTGTATGCTCTAAAATCGACTTTGAAATGAAAATATCGATACTTTTGATACCTCAGTAATTTGTGGTAATGTATATCATTAACAGGAATTTGGTGGAAAGTAACTAAACTATTCAGGTCTTGTCTAAATGACGCGCCGCTGGTAGGAACCGCCTGGGTAAGTGCCTAATACATAAACGCAGTGGCACGCTGACCCTGCTGCTCGCTCTCTCAGACAGAGAATGTCGGAACTGAAGAGAAGTCATGTGTGCAGCTATATCAGCTCCAAAACAGCCAGGATGCTCTGTGTGACATCTGTGGGAAAACCCTGAAGAGTTGTTTCAACACAACCGACCTAGTGAAACACTTACGAACAAACCACAACACTGAATATGAAACATTTTACTGGCAATTCTTGAGTCACCCAGAATGATAAAACAGCAAGTGTTTGTATCCCCTTTTTCTAGGCTATTTGGAGAGACATACATGCATACATATGCACACATACTGAGTTGAAACAAAATAAGATTAAGATTTCAGTACAGTGTAGCCCGCTTGTTAATTTTGTGCTGTGATTTGAAGATGATTCCCCAAGAGCAGCAACACTCACAAGATGCCTGGCAGAGATGATTGCGGAGGATCTCCAGCCTCTGTCCATAGTGGAAGACCAAGGTTTCCAAGGATTTGTGAGAGCTCTTGACCCAAAATATAAACTCCCAGGAAGAAAGAAACTGACAGAGACCCATCTTGTAGAACTGTTTGATGAACGCAAAGCCAAAGTAAGGCATCTTTGCAAAATGATTCTAGCGTTGTACTTACCACTGATATGTGGACCTCAGTGTCCACAGAGGCATATTGGACCGTAACATGTCATCTCATTGAAAACTGGGAAATGAGGGATTTTCTTTTGGAAACCCAAACTTTCAATGGGCAGAATACAGCTGACAGTATCAGTTTAGCGCTTAAACGCATCGCAGAAAAAGAGTTTTTTTTGGGACTTTTTTCTCCTGTCAGGCAGTGAAGGAGCAAAGGATGTACGACAGCCCAGTGAGGAAAATATGATGTTTGACCAAATAGAACGGAGTTAAACACAGTGGTTAAGATGTGATGAAATGTGATGTTATGTTGTGTTTACATGATGAAGCTTTAAGCCAAAGCGGTGATCATTGAATGTGTTGTAGTAAGTGAACAGGGATCGATCGGGTCAGAGGGATTCCAGATTCCACCATCAGATGGAGCCAGGAGGGAGTCATGTGATGTTCTGGAGCAGAACGGAATTCACGAGGGCGGAGCTGGGCTTGAATGTACACCAATCACATACGACAACACCACAAGGGACACGCCCCCCCCCCCCACACTCCAGAAATTAACCTGTAGGTGAGAGACAGAAAACCCCCGGGGAACGCCCAATTTTGGGTCGACAAAAAGCTGAGAACATAATCTCTAAAGTCGCTTTCAATGAGGAGACTATATGACTCCCATAGCAGATACAGCATTGATATATCATAATCTCGGAATCTTTAATGCATTACGCTCTGAAAAAGTCCAAGAGACGGAAATCAGCTTGGACAGAAAGTTCCCAGAACACTAACAAAACCTCTGTGGATAATAATTCATGCTTGCAAGTGCAAAAGTACCTTACCTTCTAAACTGGAGAGAGATCAAAGAGTGCCCAAGGGAATGAATTCGAAAAAAGAGTGGCCTCCTGAAGAGACTCCGGGAAACTCAAGGCCTCTCATAACCCCTCCGAGTTGCACGGCTA